TCCTACTCGGGAGGGTGCAACACTGGACCTCCTCTTAGGAAATGAGGTTAGGCAAGTGACTGAAGTGTCAGTCAGAGAGCACTTTGGATCCAGTGACCATAGCTCTTTTAGTTTTAACATAGTTAAGGAAAAAGATAGGACATGTCCAGAGGTAAAGATGCTAAGCTGGAGCAGAGCCAATTTTGGGGCCATTAGGTAGGATCTAGCAGCGGTTGTTTGGGTGAGTCTATCTGACGGACAAGGAATGACTGGCAAATGGGAGGCTTTTAAAAGTGTGATTTCAAGAGTCCAGGGACAGTATGTCCCTGTTAGGGTGAAGGGAAAAGCTGACAGGTTTAGGGATCCCTGGCCGATGAGGGATATTGAGGCTCTGGTCAGGAAGAAGAAGACAACATACATTGTGTTTAAGTTATCGGGCTCAAGTGACTCCCTAGATGCCTATAAAAAGTGTCGGAGCACAGTTAAGAGGGAAATCAGAAGAGCAAAGAAAGGGTATGAGATGGGATTATCTTTAATATTATCTGCCAGATCCAAGAGATTTTATAAGCTATATTACGAGTAAAAAGGTGGCTAGGAAGAGATTAGGTCCCTTTAAAAATCAGCATGGCCGTCTGTGTGTGGAGCCACAGGACATGGAGGAGATTTTTAATGAATATTTCTCCTCCATGTTTGCTGAGAAAGAATCATGGATGCTAAGAAAATAGGGGAATGTTCTGGACTGCATTAATATTACCAGAGAAGAGGTGTTTGCAGCCTGAGTTTGCATTAAGGTGGATAAATCCCCTGGGCCTGAACAAGTCCAGCCTCAGACATTGCAGGAGGCTAGGGAAGAAATTGCAGAGGTCCTTGCAGAGATTTTTGCTCCATCTTTAGCCACTGGTAAAGTTCCAGAAGACTGGAGGGTGGCTAATGTTGTTCCATTGTTTAAGAAAGGTAGCAAAGACAAGCCAGGGAACCACAGGCCACTGAGCCTGATATCGGTGGTAGTCAAGTTATTGGAGAGGATACTGAAGGACAGAATCAACCAACATTTGGATAATCAGCATGGATTTGTGCATGGGAAGCCACGTCTGACAAATCTTTGAGTCTTTTGAAGAGGTAACCAAGAGGATAGATGAGAGTAGGGCAGTGGATGTTGGACTTTATGGACTATGTGGACTTTAGTAAGGCCTTTGACAAGGTTCCGCACAGCGGGTTAGTCATGAAGGTTAGGTTGCATGGGATCCAGGGAGAGCTAGCTAATTGGATTCAAAACTGGCTCGATGATAGTAAGCAGAGGGTGATGGTTGTAGATTGTTTCTCAGATTGGAGGCCTGTGACTAGTAGCACGCCACAGGGGTCGATGCTGGAAGCTTTGTTATTTGTTATTTATGTAAATGATCTGGATGTGAATGTACGACGCATGATTGGTAAGTTTGTGAATGGTACAAAGTTAGGTGGTACCATTGATAGCAAGAAAGGTAATCAACTATTACAGAGGGATCTTGATCAGGTGGGGAAGTGGGCTGAGGATTGGCAAATGCAATTCAATACAGTTAAGTGTGAGATGTTGCACTTTGGAAAGTCAAACCAAGGTAGAACTTATATAGTAACTGGCAAGGTCCTGAGGAGTGTTGTGGAGCAGACGGACTTAAGAGTACAAGTACATAGTTCATTGAAAGCAGCGTCACAGGTAGACAGGGTGGTGAAGAAGGCATTTGGCATGCTGGCCTTCAACGGTCGAGATACTGAGTAAAGGGAGTTGGGATGTTATGTTACAGTTGTATAAGTCATTGGTGAGGCCGCACTTGGAGTATTGTATACAGTTTTGGTCACCCTGTTATTGGAAAGACGTAGTTAAAGTGGAAAGTGTGCAAAGAAGATTTATGAGGATGTTGCCACGACGAGTAGGCCTGAGTTACAGGGAGAGGTTGGCTCGGATAGGACTTTATTCCTTGGAATATAGGAGATTGAGGAGTGACTTTATTGACGAGTATAAAACCATGAGGGGCAGAGATAGGATGAATGCATATAATCTTTTTCTCAGGGATGGAGAATTGAAAACTAGAGGGCGTGGATTTAAGATGAGAGGGGAAAGATTTAAGAATATCTATATGGAATGGGCTGCCAGGGAAAGTGGTTGAGGCAGATACAGTAGCAACATTTAAAAAACATTTGGATAGGTACATGGGTGGGAATGGTTTAGAGGAATACGGACCATGCTGTATTACTCGATGACTCTATTTTCTGATCAAGTTTAATGTTAATTACTTGTTAGATTTATTGTTGACTATCATATACTTATCCTTGTTTTGAATTCCCAAAATCTCTCTATGAATGCCTTCATAATACTAAAGGACTTGCTTGGATAAATTCTTAGCCTTAGAAAAGCAGATAACTTGTTGTGCCGGGCATATGAAAGTTGAAAAAAGAAGTCTGGAAAAGTCAGCAGAATAGGCAGCAACAGTGGAAAGAGAAGTCGTTCATTTTCAGGTTGATGATGTTGTGAGAACTGAGAATATTTGGAGATTTAACAGATTGTTTAAGAAGTACAGTATGAATGGAGAAGAGCAAAGAAAAGGATTTTCGTTGGGTGAAAGACATTATATGACAACAAGGATCATGGTGCAAAACGGAAGGAGATAGTAATGGAACAAGGAAAGAAACAGAAAATGGGCCAAGAGACAGTTTAAATGGGGGTAACTGAACTTTTACCAACAGTTGCTATCTAGCAAAACTGGGGGTGGGGGGCGGGGTTATGATCTGAAATTGTTGAACTTGGCATTGATCCTGGAAGTTTGAAGTGTCTGATCAAAAAATAATGTATTATTCGTTGAGCTTACTTTAAGCTTCAGTTGAGCTGTGTAGGAAAGGCTGAGAACTCAGTGACAATCAGGTGGAGAATTAAAATGTCAGGTGACTGAAAATCAAATGCAGCGCTATACACACAACCCTTTTCTGCAATTCCTTGTTTCTCTACTGACTCCACACAACTGAAGTCTCTTTGGTAACTAAACATCACATGTATTGATTAACCTGGTATTCCAAATGATACATTTCACAGCTTTATAATCATGACTTTGTAGATGTACCTTGAAAATTAAAAGCTGCAATAAATGAAATCTTTGTTTTTCTCGTGGAGCCACAAACTTTAAGAAGCATTCAACAGTATAAGAAGGTTAGCGCCTACTGTATCTCATTTCTCCACTCACAAACATTAGACTATGAAAGCCTCTTCCACACTATCCGTTGACATTCTGTTCTGAAGAATCGGTTAATATATTTCAACTGGTAGATTCTTGAAAGAGAAATTTCTTTACCAATATGCTTCACCTTCTCTTGAGAAAAGTCAACTACTGCAGCTTTCTTAGTACTGTTGATGTGCTTGTGACAAACCACCCTCTGTCCAGTCATTCAAGATGTTTCCCTTTTGATCACCTGTTCTAACATCTCCTTCAGTGGCTTGTGAAACTGTGGCAGTTGTGAAGTGCAGTGGGACATTTTGGTCTGTTAAAGTTGGTAAATGCAAGTTTGTGAAACCACATAAAAAGCTAGATATTATAGGTATGTTTCAGGGCATGTCACAATTTAAGCACGTTTTGGAATTTTTCTCTGTATTTGGTATGCTATGCTAAACTGAGTTTTTAATTGTTTTGATAATAAGCGACTTTTATCCCATTGTTTTTTGGAGGACACACCCGGTGATGTGGGGTTGATTTTAAATCTGTTGAACTATTTGGTAATTAAATGGTCTTTAAAATTCCTCGCTGTTGAACAAAGAAGCGATGCTTTGCTATCGTGGTGAATAAATTTGTTGTGAAAAGCATGTCAAGAATAAATCACACTTAGTCAAGATTAATAAGCGGTTCTGAAGTTGGATGTTGCAACAAAATTCAATTGGATTGTCACAGTTTTTTTTTGGATGTTACATTGCAGAGTTTGTAATCCCGTGATACTGTGATTCTAAATGTAGTTAGGATTTGGTGTCAGATGTGAACATGTGAATAGAAAAGCTTCCCACACCATTTTGGCATCATGTCAGCTGAAAATGTGTAAAGCCATTTCACTTCAAAATGCAACTTCTTAAGTAAGTGTCAGAAATTCTGTTGCAAATTTCTTCTGTTTTTAATCTTGTTGCAACATCCAACTTGAAAACTGCATATTAATCTTGACTAAGTGTGATTTATTCTTGACATCCTCTTCACAACAAATTTATTCACCACGACAGCAAAGCATCACTTCTTTGTTCAATAGCAAGGAATTTTAAAGACCATTTAATTACTAAATAGTTCAACAGATTTAAAATCAACCCCACATCACCGGTGTGTCCTCCCAAAAACAACGGGACAAGCTGATCATTTTTACAATGGTATTTTATTGACACTTAGATATTGCAGTGAAAATGCTACATTTTCTTTTTAGTAATTGTTTGAGTCCTATCTTCCCCCTTGATTTGAAATTGATGTTTGAAGAAGGCTAAAGTTTGTTGTGCAGTGGAAAATTTCATACAGTGTAACTGACCAATTTTAGTGATTGCTCTGCCAATAATTGGATCTGGATCCAAAATAATTATCTCTGATTTTATTGTTCTGATTTGAAATGTGTTTCAGCAGCTTGAACTGATTTTTCTACAAACGCAATTTAAAAGAAAAAAAATTAACATTAATTTTGCACGGGATAATCTCATTTGGCCAAGTCTGCAGGATGGAAGATGTCGTGTGGAGTTGGTGCTGGTGGAGATCTAATAGTGAGGTTTAAGAATGCACTTATTTTTTAGATGTAGTGATATTGTACCTGCAATGGTGGTGAGCTTTATAAGGAAAGTGTTTGAACCTGACAGTAAGTAGAAAATAAATTTGCAAAATATTTCATTCCACAAAGCCTCCATCTCTCACTTGAGTGAATAGTTAATTGAAGAGAAATTTTGAGAATAAAATGTTTTCAAAAATGCTAACGAGACATGATACATATAAATATGATCAGTTTGTTGCAAAAGTAATTGTTTCTGTGTTCTTATTAAGCATTTGGGAGAAACATTCTGGTGCGCTTCAGCCCAGTGGCAGTCCTGCTACTCACAGTAGACATCTCTTGGGATTTTCTGATGAAAATGGAGCTGGAAGCTTTCAGGAAACAACTGAAAAGTTTACAGAGGAGAACTACAGGTAACTTTGCCCAATCACAACATGCATACATGTTATTGTTGTAAAATATTCTTAAACTTTACTGTCCTTCTATTCTCTTCCTCTAACCTGCCATAAAAAAAAGCTCTTTAATCTCATCATCTTAAAAACTAAATGTTTGCCTTAAAGGTTTTCATATCTCATTTATTCGTACATTTAAGAAAAAAATCTATCTGTGATGTCAAGCAACAGTGAACTTCAAACTATGTAGGGTTTTGTCATAGAGAGAATGGTGTGTGTTTGCCTCCAACAAGATACTTTACCGAAAATAAAACAAAGAACTGTGGATGTTAAAGATCTGAAACAAAAACAGAAATTGCTGGAGAAACTCACCAGGTCTGATAGCATCTGTTTTGATCCAGTAACCCTTCTTCAGAACTGTAACATATGAAATTGAGCAAAAAACCCAATGGACATTTTATTATATACAATCACTACATTGCTCAGACATTTAAGTATCTGGGCTGATATTAATTTAATAAAGGAGGAACGTGCTTTCAGTAGCGTGTCGTACTTCAAGTGATCTGACGCAAGTTGGAGTTTGATGAGACCTTCATATACTCAGGTCAAAGACTGCTTTGTGATGATGGTACCATGCACATGTCTCTTAAAAGCATACTGACAGATCTAACACAACAAACAAGATCCCAACATGTTTCAAAAGGGAGTAAGCATTAGTACCTAGCATAAGTGGAACAGTTAAAAGAATTAATGAAAAGTATTAGTTCATTCTCTGTGACTATTCTTTTTCTTCTTTGATTCTACTGTGACATCGTTGCCATCTGTTCACATTTGCAGAGTCCAACCTTGTGCCCAACCAAGCCCCACACCCTCCACCACCAGAACAATTGCAAGTAAAAATAAAATGCAGCAAAATTATGAGTGAAACAACTGTTGGAAGCTAGCAATGGATGTTAATAAACCAAAATTAAAACCAACCTAAGATGGTCAGGCATGGATCTTCGCTTCTTCCTACCCTGTCTCTATAGTTCACTATAGTCTGCAAGTGCTGCAGCAGTTTGGTTGTGGACTTGGTTCTTCTTTGTGAGTCTGGAGTTCTTCACTTTTCTTTCGCTTCAGATATTTTAAGACTGAGATAGATAGGTTCTTGATTATCAAGGGGTTCAAGGGTTACGGGGAGAAAGTGGGAGAATGGAGTTGAGGAACTTATCAGCCGTGATTGAATGGTGGAGCAGACTCGATAGGCTGAATGGCCTAATTTCTGCTCCTATGTCTTATGGTCTTATGGTCCTATTTTAAATATGACATACAAATTGAGATGTGAAAAATAATATGCAAGGGGCAGTACAGAAATCTTGCAAACGTAAGCAGAGAAAGAGAATCAAGGGAAGGAAACATTGGAATAAAGGGGGGAAATGAGAGTCCAAGAGAATCTATCAAAAGGAAAGGTGCAGATAATAAGGAGGAAATACGAGAGAGGCACATCAAGAATGAAGGACTAAAGACAAGAAAACAAAGACATGGAGGAAAACATGGCAATTGGAACTAAAAAGCCATTTGGCAGAAGTGCATACTGCTGCACTCAGCTGCTTAATCAGGAGTTGTGAAGATGATATGCCAGTCAGTGTAGGTTCTAAGGCTTGGGAGACAGAGATTATCCAAAATAGCAGTCAAGAGTTAGAACTGATTTGAAGATAGTTTGTTAAAAAGCAACAATTTAAATATGATGCATAAGCCAAAATGATTGGAAAAATGTATGACACTTGATATGTGAGAGCAGTTTATTGATCTCCGAAAACACATGGATGCATTGCGTAGAGTATTTGTTGAGCTCTTTGGATTGAGGTGATCACCTTCTCGTCTTTAGCTAAGGAAGAATTTCCTACCTTCTCTGATATTTCTTTGTCTGAAGAAGGCATCGGCCTGATGAGAGTTCTTCCTACCATCCAAACACCCATTAATAAGAGAATAATACGTAGGAGGAGACCTAGGTCTATCAGCCCATTGAAGGGCAGAGATCTGGTAATTCTCAACTCCACTTTCCTAACAAAAAAAAATTTCCTCATCACCTCTGTCCTAACAGGGAGACTCTTTATTCTGACATTACGCCTTCTTTCCCATAAGGGGAATCAACTTCTCCACATTTAGTTGGAGTCTTATGTTTTGTTAGAAGCCTCGCTTATTATTTTGTCTTATTATTACTCATTATTTTATCTTATTCTTTTTATAGTTTTTGGTTTAACTGTGAGCTGAGCTCTCAAAGATCACATTTGCACTATGAACAGCAGCTTGTGATTTAAGTAAAAAAAACAAACAAGCTGTTATTCGTTTTTGAGGCCAGGCCTGAAAGTTAATTGTGGGTTGATTCTTGTTAAAAAGTGCTCCACAGATGCTTCGACTGAGGAAGCCATAATGTATAGGGATGGAAATAGACCATTTGGCCCATCAGGTCTGCTCCACTGCTCCATGGCTGATATGTTTCTCAACCTCATTCTCCTGCCTTCTTCCCGTAACCCTTGATCCCCTTCCTAATCAAGAACCTATCTATCTCTGTCTTAAAGACACCTAATGACTTGGCCTCAACATCCTTATGTGGTAATGAGTTCCACAGATTCACCACCCTCTTATTAAAGAAATTCCTCCTCATCTCAGTTCTATAGGGTCTTCTCTTCACTGTGAGACTGTGCCTTCAGGTCCTAGTCTCTCCTACATCTTCTCCAAGTCCACTCTTTCTGGACCTCTCAGTATCCGTATGTTCCAATCAGATTACCCCCTCATCCTTCTCAACTCCATCAAGTACAGATCCAGAATCGTCAACTGCTAGTCCTGTGACAAACTATTCATCCACAGGATCATTCTAGTGAACCTCCTCTGGACCTCCTCCAAGGCCAACCCATCTTTCCTTAGCTATGAAGGCCCTGAACTGCTCACGACCTTCCAAATGTGTTCTGATCAGTGCCTTGTACAGCATTGTACTGTGGGTCATTTATTATTTTAATTTTACTATGTTGCAAATACAGGGACAGGGAAGCTGATTTGATTTGCCTTTCTGGCTCTGTGTTGTAACAGTTTCAGTATAGCTGAACTCTGCTGAGTACAAGACAAACCTGTTCAAGCTCTCCTGATAAGAAAGTCTCTCTAAACCCAGAATCAACCTTGTGCATGTGGACTGCAGTGGTTCATGAAGGCAGCTCACTGCCACTTTCTCAAGGGACTAACCAGGGATGAGCAGTAAATGCTGGCCGGCCAGCAACACCCATATTCCACAAATGAATTTTAAAAAAAGAGCCTTCTCTGGACCGCCTCCAATGCCAGTATCTTTCCTTAGATAAAGGAGCGAAAATTATTCAGTGTTCCAGGTGTGGTCTGATTAGTGCGTTGAATAATTTTAGCAAGACCTCCAAATTTTTGTGCACTGTTCCCTTTGAAATAAATGCCATCAGCCAATTTTCCTTGAATTTGGATGCTAGCTTTTTGTAATTCATGCACGAGGATCCTCAACTCCCTCTGTGCTGCAGTTTTGTGCAGCCTTCCTCTATTTAAATGATATTCAGCTCCTCTATTCTTTCCTGCCAAAATGTGTAATCTCACATTTTTCCACATTATATTTCTTCTGTCAAGTTTTACCTACTCGCTTAACTCATTTCTAGGGGTTGGTTGCTTACACTTGTATCAATCATTTCTTTGAAAACCCCTGATTATTGATTACAGGGCAGATATCCAATGTGTTGAATATGTCATCTTCACCTTGTCCATCACTTTACTCAAGGTCATATTTTAGTATACCTCCTGCTGGGAGCCACTTGTTAGCCTTTACTGGAGCCTTTGTATTGATAGGAAGTATGAAACTGGATATCCACTAAAGGAAAACAGTTTCAGCTGTTTTCATGTCATGAGTGGTATGTCAAGACTCTTGGCTTTCCTAACTGGCAACAGTGATTGTGCTTGAAAAATCCTACAGTGGTTATTAAGCACTTTGAGACTTCTGGTGGTCATGAAGAATGCTAGATAAATGCAAGACCTTTTAATTGATCTGTGTTGCCTTCCTCTCTTGGGAAATATAAATGACCAACCTCCTAATTTTACTTTCTTTGTATTGGTGTCAATGGATTGTTCATGCCATTGGTTCATGCAGCAATGGTTTTGTGAAATTAGTCCTATCCTAGGATATGATTGGATTTTCCTGAATCTATTGACTCAATGAAGGAAATGGATTCACAATTGGCTAGTTGCTGGCTGCATGTTACCTATCTATCAGGAGCCAATGGCACAGGCATCAACATAAAAGTGACTCCTGTAAGGTACTGCTTGTTATTCCTTTTGGGCTAAAAACCAGAACAGAAGTCAGAAACTGCTACGTAGCTGAAATGCCAGGAGAGTTTTACAAAGTTCTACTTGAAAAATCAGGTGGTACAATGTTTAGCTGTACAAGACCATGCTACTTTTGGAGCAGTGGGGTTGTTAGATAACTGAATCAGCGTGGTGCCAGGAGTCTTCAAATAGAGGCAAAACTACCTGATAACAACACTCAGATTGGTCTTGTTCCAGTTTGCTGCAGACTGGTAGGAATAGTGCAGCGAGGATAATCCAGACCCAGCAAGCAGAAACCACCTTTTTCCCTCTCGTCTTGTCAATGAAAAGACAAAAACACACAGACACTTGAACGAAAGCATTCTAATACAAGAATCTGTTGAACTGAAGAAAAATCATTGCTCTACAGACAACAGTGTGTCATAATTCTAAAACCGAAAGGGTGGTGAGAGATAACTGAACCCAGTGTTGTGATCTGGACTTAAGGTTTTTAAGGTTATCCGTGTCCAGTATTATTCCACACATAACATAATATGGTATGGGGAGAGAGTGGGAGTGCAACATTGAAATGAAAATCCTCCCATGATCATATTGAATGATGGAGCAGGCTCAATGGTCTGAATGGTTTACGTCATCTCCTATTTACAATATTTCTATACTTTCAGTGTTCTCTTTATGTTCTTTAATTATATCTGATATTTTCAGAATAT